GATGTATGAATAGAGAAGCAATTCAAGGATAAATACACTTCTTTCTTCAATACCTAACGCCATGTTTTCTTTGTAAAGAACGGTTATATTCATGGGTTGTAAAAAATGTAAAGGTATTGCGCTAATGTCCAAAAACCGTTATTGAATGTGTGGTTTTGTCTATTGATTGCACAAAGGCGCTAATGAAACTTTGAAAACGCTAATGAACCTGCACAAACATATTCATGATTGTCCAATGTTATGCTAAATTCCTTAATGAATGTTCCATCGCGCTCTTGAAACTCCGTTCGCGTGTGCCTCTTCGCGCTAATGATAATGCTTTTTCGCTTGAATGAATATTCCTTTGCGGTTAATGAACAGCAAAAGGTGTAGTAGTTCATTTTTAAGTCCTACACTAAAATATTAAGATGAAATAAAGTTTGCAATATGGTATTTCTTTAATAGCGCACACTTTTACCTTTCTAAATCTTAAGCTTGCCACATGACAAAATTTCTTCACAAGAACGCGGGGGGGGGGGGGGGGGGGGGGGGGGGGGAAGGGTTGGAAGCACTTTTCGTCATGTACTCTAGTAACACTACGTGCGTGCATCGGTGTTCACGATACCACCAGAAAAAAAGGCTTATAAAAAAATCCCGAAAGAAAGCTTTTTAAAAAAGCATTCCTGAAAGGAACATATTGGCTTAACGTAAAATTCTTTAGTACGTGATGTAGAACAATGCGCTCAAAAAAGTGCTGAATTCATCATTTCACTTGCGCGCTTAACGACTATTTTTGAACAAGTCTATTTGCGGACTAACTTTCAGTTATATTTAACTCACTTGACTAAGATCAAGTTTGTAAGTTTGCGTGTTTTAGGCAATATCTATGGCCGTCATGACTACATTTTTTCAAATTTTTTTAATATGGGAAAATGAGCTTATATAATCTTTCAGAATACTTGACCACGACGCGCAATGCGAGTTTGAACCCACAAATCTATTACTGTGGCTTAATATTGTGAAGAAATGCCAAGTTTTACAATAAATTTTTCTAATCTCTAGTGATCTTTTGCTTGAGAGTTATACAGAAAGATAACCTATAGTGCAAATTATGCTGACAGCGTAATTTCTAAAGAATCCTGATAAATAATTCTCTCAGTCGATCGGTGAGAGTTATTGTGAAATATTTGACGTCATTGAATTCTTTTATTTCCTAATTGTTGGGTTGCAAGCATTCTCAAGAGAGTTAAAAGACAAAAGCATGGCGGCTATTGTGGTGCCGTTAACAATGGATGCTAATGAGAAATCTTTTGTTAAACGGCACCAACGCTCCCCCGAGAGGACGCGATGACGTAACGTGCAATCGAAGAATTGACCTAACCGACTACATGCTCAAAAATAGACTTTCCTAACGAAGTTAACACAAGATAAACACGTTATTCTTGTTCTTTTAGGGTTATATACCTAAACAAACTCAAGATAGGGCTTAAATTGTACTCATATCTCGATTTGTGCATTTGGTCACGCAAAATATACTCATGAATATTAATCTCACGTTTCGTGGATTTATCAAAGTTAGTGACGTCATAGACGTCACACTATATTGTTCTACCAACACGTGATTGGTATAAATGGATTGTGAATCTCAACGTAGGGTCATTACTTTAAAATATTGGTAAAAAGAGAAATTGGCGGCTTAAAAAATCCTGGGGGATCTCCGATACATACGTACTTAAAAACGACTCCCATCAACCGAGTTAAATAATTCTGCATCTCAATCAAGCCTGTATTCAACAATACCAAGTGGAAATTTCTGAAATATTTATCACAAATAGAGCTTTGTCATTAAGGATTATTTCTACTGTATCTTTTGAAATTGCTGTTGTCATAATTTCTAAAGACCTGAGACAATCATTTTGGGGTCTATATTGTTGGTAAATAAGCGTCCAAGCCGAAGACCTGAAGAGAAATTTGCTGGAATACATCGTGAGCAAGAAAATGCCTGTCCAAGTTAACAGATACCACGACATAGTCAAAGATTTAATCAGCTACAAATTTCGACAGAATCACATTTTTATTACAGGTTATAACGAGGATTCTAGTACGAAGGCTTCAAGACATCTAAGACTTATCGCTGATGAACTTATAGCGGAAAATAACGAACTGTTTGAGTCGATGTGCGACCAGCTTCATCTCACACCGACCACAACGTACCCAACTTTCGTGGGAATCGCCGACGAAATCTTCCAAACAGGAAAAAACTGGGGGAGAATCGTAGCATTTTTGGCTTTTGGAGCGACTCTTGCAGTCTACTGTGCTCAAAGAGAGGAATTATTTCAGTTAGTAGATGATATAGTTGAATGGATTTCGAGGTATATGGATCAGAATTTGGCGGAATGGATTGAGGAAGATGGTGGATGGGTAAGTAAGGACAAATAAGCGAAGGCTAGAACTTTCCAAACGACCTTGGCACTTCGACCAGAAAATAAAACCTTTGTATCGCTTAATAAAACGATATTTGAAAGATGTTGGGAATTTTTAAAGCATTTTTCTACATTTAAGACGAGCATAAGCACGATTGCTTCTACTTTTGTTGACAAGCCGTCCGACGTTTGCACGAAGTAATACGAAAATGTGTTAAAAGAAAGAAAATATTATTTAAAAATTATAGAATTTGATTTTAAATTTGTACTTTTTCTCTTCTTCATTCGAGATCGTTTTTTTCCCCTTACGTTTCTCTCTTGTTTTAATATTTTATGTAATTTTTGGGAATATTTTTGAAAAATTCCCGGGAGAATTAAAATGACAATGATTAGCGGAAGTCGTAAACTTGTTTTTGTCGAGCGAAATGGAACCAAAAAACTTTTCCTTTCCTTTTGGCCAACAAAATATTTAATTTCAAAGAAAAAAAGAAAAGAAGTCGAAAAAAATTGGTTCCAATTCTTATTTCCTTGAAATATTCAAGTTTGTCGTGTTTTTTTTTTTGTTGTTGTTTATTTTTTTCTATTTCGTTTCATTTCTCTTTGAGGGGAAAAAATTCCCTATTTTTCAACATTACTTTCTAAACGTGTCTTGTAAATTGATCTATTTTTTTAAATTCCAGACATGCTAACAATGGTCTGAGTATTTTTCTAGAAGAAATTTTACCACAATTTCAAATAGTACTATTCTATTGTAGTAAAATGGAATATTATGTGGTTCGAGAAGATGAGAGATAATTCATTCACTGTCAGCAGTTCACAGTCATGCCATATCTCACATTCTGTGGTTACTTGGAGATATTCATCAGCTAGTCCACAAATTCAAAGTTTTATGCACACAATTTCATTCCCTTAAGTTGAATATTTCAGCTTTTCTTTAGTTCTTTTTATCTAGAAGATTCCTTATTTATCAGAATTGTTTATGAATTCATAAGATATTTTAGATTAATGTCATAATCTGACTATCTGAGCCTGTGTCAAAGGCTTATTGAATATTGCCTCTATTGAGTTTAGCCAAAATAATACTAAATATAATAACTAATAATAACTAAATATTTGACTTAACTTGGACTTTTTTTTTTCAGGATGGCTTCATGGATTTCTTTAATCAAGAAGACTCATCAAAAGACGATTCGAGCAGTGCTAGCAGATGGGGAATAGCAGCAGTTGCAGGGATTGGCATTGGCGCCTTGTTAATGCTCGCCACAAGGTGACTTATGAATACTCAACAGACAATAATACACATACTCCCGTCACCTTGCAAAGTCTCATCAGAAACACTGGAAGCTGTTCACACCCCCTACCTTAGGCTTATTTGAATCTTTGAAGACATATTTGTACAAGTCTTTTGTTGCTGAAGTTGCAGTATTAGGTATCTGTAGAAAAGGGCTAATCAAGCTCCAGACTTTTAACCTACCTAAATGTATTAAAAGAAAGGAACAAGCAGGCATGTAGATACTTAAGAATGAAAAAATGACATTTTATAGCAAATTGGTTGAGCCAAAAGATGGTTGTGTTTATGCATATACTTATATTGGTAATGAAGACTCTTATTGTATTTACAGATCTGTATCTTCAATGAAGAATTGACAAATGTATTGTGAATATTGAGATTGAATATAACTTGAAATTGTATTTTTTTGGTAGCTGTAAGATGTAGTTAAAAGGTGGATAGAATATAGAAAAAAGACTCACATCAATACAGCAATTGGYGGAGCAAAAATATTCGAACTTGAAATACAAGCGACATTCACACTTAAAAGAACAATGCCTAAATTCGGCTTGTTTCTTCTTCATACAACACAGAAAAAAATGAATGTTGAATCTGAAGTGTGGTTCAAACCAATCCTACGTAATCAAATCTTCTATTTCTGTCCCATTTTATAGTTCTTGTCTCATTCAATTTATTTGACTGAAAAGTGGAAGAGTATCGTAGTTCTCATGCATTATCAAAATTTCCAAAGAGTGGATGTACTATTACTGTAACATACAGTATTTATTAAATAAAAACAAAAAGTTGCATCGACGCAACTTAGTAATTTTACTAACTTTCAAAAAAAAAATTAGTATTTTAATATATGATTTTATTGGGTGAATATTCAGACATTGTTATAGCCCTAATGCAACCACTCATAGATTTCTTTTCTAAGAATTATAGTCAGTTCTGTAGTCAGTTGTACTATTTATTATTAGGCATTATTAGGCTTTTTAATAGTTAACAATATTGGTCATACGTTTCTACATTCAAAGTTTGGCACAAAAGTAACAACTATGATAATGTTTAAAATTGGAAATACTAAATTTGCTTGAATTCAGTGACCAAATAATGATTCAAAGTTGAGTTTAGACTTGCTGTTTTTGTGATATCCAACCTCAGCTTTGAAACATTCTTGCCGTTCATTTTTCAAGCGCATTTAGATAAGGTCCATTGGTTCGGTTATAGTTTACCATGTATTGTATATACCGGTATAAATTAAAGTTACAAATTAGGTTCTTGAAATGAAGTTTCTTCTGTTTTAATTTTGGATGTGAGGGCACACTTGCCTCTCACCTCTTGGGCCTTGGAAATCGATACCTGGACTAAACATCTTGAGCAAGTAGAGCTTATTAGGTCGTCCATTGATCAGCCCAGTCAGGTTATTTTAAAGTAACAATAAAATAGATTGGTATTTCCAAAATATTTTCACCCTTTTATCCAGTGTTCTCACCTTTCCAATTCCCACTTATAATTTTGTATTGCTTAAGACTGTATTTCTAATTTGTTTTAAAATAATGTTCTTAATTTAAAAAATCCTTAAAACAAATAATAAATTTTAGATTAAATTTAAAGTCATAAACCTTGAACACACTTAGCGAAATGCTTGAAATGTTATCTCAAACCTGACAAGGACTTTCACCATAATTAATTCCATTTGCATAAATAAATTTATTAAGGCTAAATTTAGAAAAGTCTGATGTATTAAACTAGATAATGATTAAGAAATATCCTTCCTATACTACAATGAAAACATATAAATAGCATCAAATTCTAATAACACCTGCACTGTTAGACCAAAATAGCTCACTCAGAACAATGTAGGCAGAATTTTTTCCTGTAATTGTGGGAATCTTTTGTTCTCCTTTTAGAAGATAAAATAAGCCTCAAGAAACGTTCGCAGGTGTTGATTTATTCATTGAAAATGATAGGGTAAAGTAAGCTCTACTTTATTATCAAACACCCAGTTTATTTCCATTCTTTAAACTGGAATCTATAGTACCTGAAAGAAGTCACGTTTTACTTTCCTTCGAACACAATTTTCAAAGGGAATTTAGGAAAGACCCATGCAGATTACAAACATGTCAAAACAAGTATGTAAGATCATGAATTTTAAAAGGAAATTATGAATTATCGCAAACTTTAGAAGACATTATTAACAAAGGACATAGCCTTTGACTAGCCATCAAAGTCAGAAAAAGAATAGACTGTATTTGAATTTGTCAAATACCACTGTGTTCCTTGATTACAGACTCATTTACTTATTTCAACGTCCAAATATTCACAAATACCAACGGTAAAGTAAAGAATGCACAACTTCAACAATACAAAATCCTTTGAAATTCCACAGACCTTCACTGGAATGCATAAATGTTCACAATAATTTCATACGAAGATTAGACTAACCCTGTACAACAGATAATTTGAATTTGGAGTATTCTATTCTGTAATCATCCTCCGGAACCCAGGGGTAAAAATTTCAGGGAGTGAGAAATGAGTGAAGAATTTTAACCCTGCAGTACCAAGGATTTTCTTTAATAGGAGCCTGTATGAATGAACGAATGAATGAATGAATGAATAAATTCGATTCTTAAAAACAAAATGAGATTCTGAAATAGTATTTCATCAGGGTGAATGAAAGAATAAATGAATGAACAAAGGAAGGAATGAATGAATGTACAAATGTTTGAATGAGTGAAATGAATGTATAAACACTGAATGTCAAACAAATATTTTCAAAAAAGACATCTTTGTCACAAAATTTCATTTCTCGATTCATAATTTTTGTGTTACCATAGTGACAAAAAAAATATTTATCTATACCCTACCACAAATTGACTAGACATTTAATTAATTTATCAGTTGAAACCTCATATGTGAGCTTCATTTGAAAGCGTCCCATGGAGGTATTAATTCTGGTAGACGGTACCCTGCAAGGAGAGGTTATTTTTATTCCCCTTCATAAGGCTCAAAATAAAAATAATCAAGGGGAAAGGAAAAGGGGCTTACATACATATGTATATATATTTTGAATTCTCAAATTTTTTCAGCAATGGCAAATTTTTTAAATTAATATAATAAACTTGAAATATTTGTAGAATTACAAACGATTATTGAAATGTTCAAAAATAACGAATAAACTACTAATAAAAAAATTACTATTGGGATTACTAATGTGAAGTTCCAAAAATTATCCATACCCCCTCACAGAGGAATTTTTTAAGACACCCCCCTACCCCCCTGGAAATTCCAATTTTCTTCCATACAAACTCTGTAATTTTTGTTCTTTCTCTGACCCCCCTACTCTTCAGAAATTCCAAATTCCTCTGTGGGGTGGGTATGGATGATTTCCGGAATTACACAATGTGATCATTCTGTTTCATATGCTGGCTATGATGACTGACAGCAATGCAATGGAAAGACATTGTTACTTTTCTATGGTTTTTTGCATAGGGTCTGTGTCTTCATTTCATTATTATTTATTTATTTATTTATTTATTTATTATTTAGACTCAAATATTCTTTAGTTTGCCCCAAGGGCAAGCTAATCGAGGAGGCTCACTTAAGACTTTCATTATTTACTAATAATTGTCTGAGAAAAAAGACATTAAAACTAAGCTTACATAAGCTCAAAACTGTGGAAGGCATAAATCTTAAATCATATTTGGATAAGGTATTCCATCATTTCATTTGGAAATTGAATTGAAAATATCTTGGTAGCTTGTGTGTTGTCCCAAAATAATATTCTTGCCTCTCTTAAATAATACATTGTTTAAAATTGGCTAGACTGGTCTCCTACTCAGCCACGACTAGTGTTGACATGCAACACTCTCTTCCCTAAGTAGCGTCTGCTCACCCAAACAAGGTTAATTTAAGGAAATGGAATGTTGTGCTTGGGAAAGCAATGCGTGACAGCACTAATAGCCACTGCATAGGAGACTATGGCTAGACATGAYGACAGATCACATCTGACTGATTTCAAAGTGACCCTTCTAAGTGATTGGTCAAGAGGACTGGCCTAAGAGGCATTTGGCCAACTAAGTGCAAAGTTTCATCAGACATTGCCTGTTGACTGGCTATAATTTTTACCCTGGGAGAGGAGTTTTGGGTATACAGTCAATTCAAAAAACGTTGTCATCGACCGGCTCAAGCCTACGCGACTGGACCAAAAGGAATATGGGTAAAAATCACTGAAGTGGTTAAATATTCATTCTGAATTAATTGTTCCCACTAGTAGTAAAGATAATAATGGTGAGGTCTTCGGCTTTAGGGAAAGAAAAACAAAGTAGTTATGATTCAGTTCACAATTCCAAACGTATGGAGGCATTAAAAAATGTCTCCTTCAACACTTGCCTACAAATCGGTCCAGTCGCATAGGCTCGAGTTGGTCGACGACAACATTTATTGTAAGTCAGCAAGGAGAATAGCCCACTTCTGAGATATGCTTCACTTGTCACGCACAAAGGTTTTAGTATGAGGCTACGTGCTAAATGCTCAGTCATTCGCGACAGGCGGTAAGAATAAATTCAATTTAGCATGTAGCCTCATACCAAAACCTTAATGCATGAAAAGCGAAGCATATCTTTGAAGTGCGACATTAGCCGTTTTGAGGTTGAGCAGAAAAATGGGTCAAGCCAGGATTCAGTGCATTGTGGGAAAGTTTGGGGGAACAAAATAGTCGTTGTCATGGAAACATGTCCCCTAATACAGCCCTACAATGCATTGTATTGCCAGCTCAACCTATTTTTTTCCTCATCCTCAGAAGGGCTTATAGTGATATGGATATTTCATGGAATGTCAAGGAAATATGAAAGACAAATGAGAATGGGAAATGCAGAGGGAAAATATGAAAGATTCTAAATACCATTTTATGATATAAAACTACTTTTATTCTTTACCATTTTTGTCTTTGAGTACATAATTATTAGATATTTTAAATATTTTTATTGCCAGTGGGTATTTATAGTTTTCTTTGTTATTCATTGAAGAAATAGAAAGTGGCACGTGCTGTGTGCAGTTATAAAGCATATGGGGGTTGGCAGACAAGAGAAGTGATAGAAGAAGCATGACGCATAGCAGAGTGCTTATCAACACTTCTTGAGCGTTCTGCTGATCCCCAAGTGCTTTATAACTGCACACAGCACAGCAAGCAAGTTTTTTATTTCTTTCATAAAATACAAATTACAACGGTTTTTTTTGATGCTAATGATGCAATTGAAAGTGCGCACGCATGCCGTGTGGTCTAATAAAACACACGCTCCCAATCAATCAGAATGCAAGATTTATATAATAGTTATTTTATAAAGAGCTTTATATCCAGTACTTCCCTGCTCACGAAACCCTGCTCACTACAGCTGTATTTTGATAAAGCTTGCTATCCCGCAATGATACCTAGATAAAGCATTATTATTTTCCCCGTTTAGCTTTCATTTTGTTTTGCAAATATTTTTGTTATTGTTGTTTATAATCAATTATCCCAGAATACCATGGTTGGAGATAAAAATACTGCCGCTCATGCAAGCAATCAGTACATATGATTTTTAGGATAACTGATTTGGAAAAATAAATGCAATAGTATTTTCTGTAACTACAATTAATATTTGATTGACTTTTAATAAACTGCTTATGCACTGTGTGTGCACTTGTATATCTAGTGTCAGTGTGCCAATTTTTGCAGCCAGTATCCTTATATTCACTTGAAAATTGCATTGATTATTTGATATACATGTCATGTCATTGCTGCCTCTCACGGGAGTGTTGTTCCCATTTAACAAAAGATTGCAAAAGATAGCATCCATTGTTACCAGCACCAAAATGGCCACCATATTTTTGTCTTTTGACTCTCTTAGAAATGCTTGCAACCCATCAATTACTGACATTTCAATAACCAATTACTTAACTGGTCTGTGTTAAGCACCATGAGAGGAACAATGAATAAGATTGTCCTCATGACTCACTTAAACGGTATTATCATCAAAACAGTGATAATGGCAACTATGCTTATTGATCTTCTTAGGTTACTATGGAACCCATGGCAACCTAGATAACTCAATGAAAAAGGCTGTTGAAGTCTTAATCAACAAGCACAATTATTATATTCAAAATGGTAACCATGGCAACTATGATAACTGCTGTTGTTGGATAACTATGGCAACCAGTAGACGTGCATACTTTTTTATTTCTTATGCAATTACTTTCAGACRATCTTAATTGTAATCCCCTTAATGATATATATAAACTTTACTTAAGATACTTTCTACCTTAAATTTTGAAAATAAATTATTCTTGAGTAACATATACTACAGTATACTTATCTTACAAACCGTTCATCAGATAGTCAACCTTGGAGTATCTTGGCCTTTGCATGAAGTCCCACCATGGTCGACCAACGATAACTACCACAGCTAATAAGAATAGAATGCCAAAAAATAATGCTATGATCAGTGAGGTTTTGTTGGTGTGGTCGTGACCTTCCGTGTGGTGTTTCATTTTCTTTGGGCTGACGTGAGGTGTGGTTCCATGGGTCGTAACTACTTTTGTTGGTGCAACAGATGCTAGGAAAGAAAGAAATTCATTTTAGAGAATTCTTACGATATAAGCACTGTGGAGCATCCTTCAGAAAGTTGGTGGTGGAAAAACATGATCAAATACAAGAGTAAATGGTTTGAACACAGGTGTTGAAGTTTGTTGTGAAGTGTGATGGTCTGGGTGAGTGTAGTCTTGAGAAAGACTATTGTTGGTGGTAAATGACATTTTGACAACCTAACCTGAGTGGAAGTCATATTTAGGGCACAGTTTTTCCCTATCCGGACCGACTATAGGAAGGTAAATAACTTAATTTTTCCCCGTATTTTTTTACTTGTTTTTGTAATCATTTTGTTTTGTTGTTTAGCGGCAAAGGATACCAGACCACGAGCGCAGGCAGATACTTACGAAACACCGCCTGCTCAAACAGCCAATCAGAGCGCACGATTTTTTAGGATACCGGACCGTAAAAAATTAAATATTAAATATTGCAGACTAGTATGACACTGATTAGAGTGCCAACAATGTATCTGTGAAACTTTAGTAATACTAAATAGCACAATTTCATGCAAATTCCATTGTTTTCTATTGTTTAATTAGCACTAGTTTGTACTATTTAGTAATTAGTGTTTCACGGATTAATTGTTTGCACTCTATAACAAAGTGAAATACTTGGAAATTTAGGGGATACTTAAAAAAGTAACTTCTTTCAGAAAATCTAGATCTTATTTTTTTCATTTATCAGTACTTACAGTGATGATAAGCAGTTGTTGGAGGTGTACTAGTTATTGCAGAATGTGCTGATCTGTTAGTGCCTTCTTCTCTCTGCTCAAGCTGTGTACCAATAAACAGACCAAAAGCACATATTAATTTTAATTTTACAGTCACCTAACCCATACATTGTTGAACCCATGCATTTACAAACTTTTGTGTATRTTACAGTAATTCCTATATTAGTCCCTCCCCCTGGGGGGAGGGGTTAATCAATTAATTTCAGGAATGTTTGAGAGGGGATTAATTAGAGAGGGGGGCCTCAATAGAGGGGGGGGGGGGCTTATGAATGAAAGGAAACACAGTATGATGTAACAGTTATCTGGTAGACCAGCGTCAATATGCTAGTCAGCAAACAAGACCTCAAGCTTTGACAGTTACACTTCAACAATAATGGTAGTTAACATTAAAACAAACACCAGTATACCTGCTGAGTGGGAACGCTTGTCACTCCAATAGGTGTCTCACTCAGTGTAGTTTCCAACATGACACCATCCTTGGATGTTACCGTAGATACTGTGTGTAACTTGGAACTGTCAACTTCACTTGAAGATGGGGGTGTGGCTAATGGTAAACAAAATGTGTGGTTACAAGGGTGTTGGTGTCAGTTCTCAACCAATCAGGGCATACTATCTAAGCTAATAGACTGATTTAACAACCACAACAAAGAGAATGGTGTGCATGCACTGACAAACAGCTTTCAAAACCTTGCAATGTCACATTCAGGATGCCATTTCTCAATGGCTGTTTTGAATGCTGTTTGTCAGTGCACATGCTGTGGCCTTTTACGTCGTGTTGTGTTTGCAAAATCAGTCTAATATAATGACATGTATTTATCTTACACCTCACTATGAACCCTTTCCACTCATTAACTGTTACCAAAAATATCAACAACAATTAAAATAAAACTGGAAAAAAAGGTTCGTTCAAGATGAATTAATTCATATCACAATAAAGATAAGGATAGCTTTATCATTGTAAGGCATTTACCTTGGATAAGAGCATTCCTCTCGATAACAMCAACAACAGATCCAGACAAACTGCTTCGAATGCAGTTACTTATCGGTGAACATTTTAAAAGAAAGCAATTTGAAGGCCGATTGGAGCTATCGTAGTACACATACAACGTACAATCAGAGTGACTACAGCAGCTTTCCATGCATAGGGTTTCATTTTGCAGTATTAAACCCGCCACGACTTTAGTCGATAAACTCTTGGCTTTTGAGGCTTTGATGTTGATGATTGAATTCGGTTCTTTTTTTGTCTGACAAGATACTTTTTCGGAATTTTTCCCATTATTGACATTCACGAAGAATAGGAGAATAGCTGTACAGTACAGAAATGACATAGTTTTTTTGAAAGACATGATTTTTTTACCGATTTAAAAGCGAGTTGTTTTTCTCTTCCACAAAAATCTCCACCATCTTAAATCGCCAGCGTCATACAAAACCCTGCAAGGTGTTCTGGGAAAAAGCACAGGCAACCCACTCCGTAGTCATCCCCTTTAAAGCCTCATTCATTGGTTTAGCACCAAAAAAAGAAATTGATACTGTGGACGTACCGGTATCTTGAAGGATTCTTCTGAGCTCCGCAGTATAGGATATATTGCAATATAGTCGAACTTACGTGGCCACACAGATGTTTTGGGATGGGAGGGCCGTGCCCCCTTGGCCCTCTCCCCTGGCTACGCCCCTGTGTTTCACTATGTTGGTCGCGTTATTATGAAAATGATCACTCTTGCTTTTCGAAGTATTAAAGATAAGATAAGATAATTTATTCAACGTCAACTACACAGGGAGTGATCACATCCTACCGAGCCGAAGGCTCGTTGTAAAAGTGCTTGACAAAATGAGGTGAAAAGACCCACTCTTCAAAGAAACTTTACTTAAGAGTGCGTGGCACACTTACTCGAGAACGTCGAGTGGGATAGACCAGAGACTTCCGTCAATCAAAAAGTTAAAAATCCTGTGATCAATTTTGCCCCACTCCTACGTGGGGATTGGATTTTTTTTAAATTTTTCAGGGACCAACTATTCGGGAAAGAGAAAATTAAAACTATGATCCCCCTTCTCAGTTATTTTAGCAATCTGTACATTCATAAATCCATTTCCATTTTATCCTATCCCATCCATCCATCCATTCATCCATCCATCCACCCATCCATCATTTTAGTCATAGATTGATTACACGGTCTTTTTTGAAAGCTTCTTTGAAATAAAAATGAACAAATAAATCTTATTGCCCACGTTTTTCTTTTGTTCTTCATACATGTTCGTAAAGCATAAAAACTTTTGATAATTGGGTCTTCATAATCAATCTTTAACATCCATTTCGCGTGGTCCAGCATTGACTGATCCTCTGTCAACTAGGCTATTAGGTAGCTAATGAATTGTTTTTAGTGGTTTCAAATATAGTATTAAGTACATGACGAGAAAGCGTTCGATGACTGATGACTTAGTATAGAATGATGGAGTTATTACGTCACTTCCTCATGTAGTTCACGCATTTTTCTGACAAGTTCATTGGGCTCAAAGACACCGCATTTGCGAAATTTCGACTGAATAACATATACTCAACAAATTTACGTTATCTGATTACAAGGATAAGAATTATATCGGCCTAATGTTCCTGTAATAAACTGACTAAATAGAGTGCTCTAGGGAAGCACGTTTTTCTGGGATGTTTCCGCTTTCGTGACTCTTCGCAATCAAAGTTAAGAAAATGAGCAAGAACTGATGGAAAGAAAGAGTCCTAAAATGTATCGCTTTTTCAAAGAAAATAATAATTGATATTCAAATAATTCATAGTTTATAATATCGATAAACAATTATAGTTTTCTAAACAAAGGGGATAGAAAAACTCATGAAACCGCAAGCTGTATAAAAAAAGTATAATAAGTTTGTTTCGAAAGTACGACGATACCACATGTTATAAAATACGGTTTCGGTGGTGTTTGTGATTTAATGATGTTATGATTTGACAACTTTCCTTCTGATGAAAATAAATTGCTTTGTCCTAAAATTTAACTCCTTTTAAAATTAAAGTTTTTAATTGTTATTCTGAAAATTGTGAACAATATGATGCCGGAAGTGACGTACTTTTTCGAGAAAGAAAGTTAATGAAAAATCTAGCTTTATCTGTCTGTAAACAAAAAATCCCAGTTAAAAAGAAATGTCTATATTTATTTTCTTTCTTGCTGGGATTTTTGTGTACCACAGCACTGATGCTGTAAAGGTGGACGCCAAGCGATTCTGAATAATTGAAAGTCGTAAAAAATCGTTTGCTACAATATGCAAATCACAAGCGATGTACGTTAAAGATCGCGCGCTGATTGGTCCATTTCTAAAATAAATATTCTTGTAGCTTTCAGCTGTTTCGCGTTGTCAATTTTCTATTCATGCAGAAGAGAGGCTCAGAAAAACCTACCAAAAACCTATTTTAATCGGCTCTCAGTCATAGATAAAAAGCATAGGAGCTAGGAAAAAATATGTGGTGCTTTGTATCAGAGCCCAATGGCATTATCCATGAAATATTTTTGCCTAGAAACTCGGTAGGACAAGAGTGCTTTGATAAGGTATGAAATGGATTGCCTTCGTTTTCTTCGCTCGATAAAAATGTTTGTTTCTTTATAAAAAGCAAATACATAACATTAATGCATCGATGCCCGAATGTATGATTCTAGACGTGTTTTTATTTCATTGTCTTTCTGCAGGTTTGCGAAAAACTTCGCCTTGTTGAGAAAGATTATTTTGGTTTGCAGTACAATGGGCCAAACGGTGTTCGTCTTTGGCTCAACATGAGAAATGCAATGTCTGTACAACTAAGCGGAAAACCTCCATACAGACTTTATCTTCTCGTGAAATTTTTCGTTAAGCCTCAAGAACTACAGCAAGAAATATCGAGGTAAGCAGCAGGTATTTGCAGGTATTTTGAAATAGTTGACCAAATAACCTGCCACTTGGCTTTGAATATGGGAATATTTGCCAGAAATTTTCAACGGAACTCCTCTCGCAATGATTTCAAATTTGCCTTCAAAATTTAAATACATTTCGCAGTTGCAAATCTTTGAGTGATGAAATAAAAAAGACTTTTTATTTACTCTTTCTCTCTCTCTCTCTCTTTCAGAAATTTGTTTTACTTAACTCTAAAGACCTTTGTCAGCCATGGAAAGATAGACTTGTCAAACTCACAAACCAAAACAATTGCAAGACTTTGCGCTCTCACTGCTCAAATTGATTCTGGAGATTTCATCCCAGAAAAACCGCCGCAATATTCAACATTTATTCCCAAAGCTCTCTACAATTTTTATAGCAAAACTTCGGATTTACAAAAAGATGCTGCTTCTGAACATACTCAATTATTACGCACTCCTGTGAATGAAGCGAAAGTAGAATATCTGCATTTGTTGGCTAATGTTCCTGGATACGGAATTGATGTTTTTAAAGGAAAAATGTCTAAAGAAAAATGCACAAAAAAGGTCGAAATCTGTGTTGGAAATGACGGAGTTAAAGTCTACAGCGTCTCTCAAGAATACGACGCCAAACAAAGCAGAGAAATTGTCAAAAAAATCGTCGAAAAAAGGTAAGAAAAAAATCACAAACAAATCCTTTCAATATTTGCAGTCTCATTTTAGTTCAGTGCTGACCAAAACACAGAATTTTTATTGATATATTTTGTATCTAAACACACACAAAACCAGTCAATCAGTGACTGACTAGATCGATGGTTAGGACACCACATTTGACTTCTTAATATATGTTAGCTTATATTGAAATTTTCAAGTAAAGTGCTGCTCAACTTCAACTTAATGACAAAATCGAGAATTTTTGAATACATAATTGTTATCTTCGAACTCGTTGTCGAAAACCAAAAAAATTGTGTTTTATGATGATTTTGATGTATAATTCTTGCCCGTATTTCACTGCAGCGATCATTTTGTATCATCTGTTTTTCACGCACTGAAAACGAAAAAAAAAAAAAATGAATAAAAAGAAAAGATATTATATCGGGAAGAGGACTTTGATGAGACATATTGAATACATTTGCTGTCATTTTCTATGACATGGATATGAATTTGTCAAAACTAATATGATATACTGTATTCCCGGTTAAGAGTTACAGCGAAGACGACACGAAAATAGGAAGTTCGAGGAATGATTACTGACATATTGTATTGCTTTGAATTTTTGGTATTTTTAATGCTTGTATGATTCGGTTACTATGCTAACTTCAATAAAATTAATTCAGAGATTGTCTCTTTTATTATTCATGTCTTTTAGATAACAGACCTGCAACTAACAATCCCATAGTCTTTCTTATTAGCGGGCTTCAAACTCGCCACCAATATTTCGCCAAAAAAAAAAAAAAAAAAAAAACCACGTGAAATTCTAATTTCTATCGAGATGTTCAGTTATTATCAGCTGTAATATTCTTTAAGCCCACCATTTTCCATGGAAGCATATTTTTTCCCCCGAAGTTACAAAATCTGCCACTTTGAATAAATTTTGTAAACGCCTTTAATTTTATCATTGTGAATTTAAAATTTACTAACTATAAATTTCATCGAAATTCGACTTCAATGAGTTGAGTTCGTACCTAATGAAAATCATGATTACTTATTTGAGGCGGTTAGTTACGTAGGAACGTAGCTATATATTTTTAATATTGAATAAGATATAGAACCAACATACAGAACTATTATAAGCAGTGGTTATAGTCCAATAGGAAGGCTCGGAACTTTAGTGACACTTGCATATATATTTGGCCCAGATATACTTTACATGTAGCAACAACTTCAATTTTCCAAAATTCTTTTTTTTATCTGTTTATAATGTATATATGTTGATATATTTGTATTATATTTGCGTTATATAGTTAGTTTTAAAGCCATTTTGAATCAGATTGATATCTTAGTCACATGAATACTAAAGTTGATAAAAGTGGCTCTTCATTTAGTAATGATTTCCTGAGACACGGTCGGCAGTATTCGTTATCGCCTCTGGATTATCATTCTCTTTATCATATTCTGGCAGACGCCTTTAGCCGCTTTCTTTCAAGACTGCATACATATTTTCATTACAAGGATTAATTACAAATAACAACGACGAATCTATAGCGGTAAACTTATGCTATCTTACAGTGATTTCCGAATTTAATTTCACAACTGTTTTTTTCAGAAATGAAAGAAGTTCTTTTCTTTTTTCCAAATTGTTTTCACATTTCATTTCCCCTTCTTGTTCCATTCACTATATTTCTTTTCTTTTCTTTTTTTACATTTCCTTCTCTCTACACTGTATCTTATTTCCGATTTTAATTTTACAACTGTGTTTCCTTTTTTTATCCAAATTATTTTCTTTTTTATTATTTCCCTTACAGTGTAATTCTTATTCCTCACTCTTTTTTACTTTCTTTGCTTTCCTCATTCCTTTCCTTTCCTCTTCACTGTCATCTCATCCCTCTTCTTTTTTCCTGGTATGGGTGGTCTGCGCTGCTACGGAGCTTTCACTCACCGCTTTGTAGTTCAAGCCTCCATGAGGTGGCGGGCTTGATTCTCGACTGAACTAAATGTACGAGTAAAGTTTATTTGATGTGTTGTTATGTTCTCCCCCTTGCCACAAGATGGTTACACTATCTCTCCTCATACAAATGAAATGCGTAACTTGAGTGTTGCGTGTTGTAATTGGTGAATGCAGTAGAGTGTATGAAGCGAACCTCAAGGAAGAGCCCCTCACGGAAAATGATGGTTTTTTTCGCTTGTATCTCCACTCACTAACGTCTGTTTCTCTATTTAGAATACTTTTCATATTACCAAACAAGATGCTTCTATAATTTTACTTTCTTATTCCTTAATCTTTTTGATATTTTGTAGGATAAACTTCGAGGATGTTTCAACAGTGTCTTACAACAACAGATGTTTCACAGTCGTTCACGGTAGTGGAACCCAGGCCCAGCGSGTCACCTACAAACTCAAGAGCGAATGTGACGCCGTCGCTTTGTTTCGAACATTCACAGAATTCCACACGTTTTACCAGTGTAATACGGTGAAGCGGTCTGTGGTAGACCAATGCACGCGAACACTTTTGGGACGACTTGTTTCAGTCGTTTTTCCSTCGAATGACTTCGGTAAGACTTACCTGTTTGATGTACAGCGGACTCGTCGACAGGCCTACAGTCATGCGTGGAATGAAATGAACAGCTATCGAAATACCAACATGTCACGTGTTACGGCCGGCAATAGCCGAAGTGGCTACTCGGTTTCCGAATTCCGGCCCGTACAATCTCCGCTCAGTCGTCGGAAATGTTCGGGCTCGCGGCAAAAGGATTTGGCTGAATTTGAGGAGCAAAACCTCACGGATTTGGATATCGAGGCAATGCAGCCAGAAGAACTAAAGAAAATGGTTCGACACATGCAAGACGCTCGGATTTGCCAGATTTGTATGGATGCGGAAGTGGCGACGGCCTTTTGTCCGTGTGGTCACGTGGTTTGCTGTGTGGAATGTTCGGCAATGTGCAAGGAATGTCCTTTATGTCGTAGCCAAATAACTTACGCCCAACGAGTCTTCTTTCCTTGCCAATGACAGCAAGCGATTTTATATTTATTATAACTAAAACCAATTCACGTGATTCTAGTAACTCWAGAAAATAAACTTGGAAAAATTATTTATTGATCTACACTAATTACCCCGAAAATGACAATCAAAACACAAAGACAAAATTATTTATACGAGGAAAATAAAACTATTGTCAACATTTGTATTTAATATCTCCCTGAGAAGCTTCAGCTTACGTTATAGTTAGCTATGAACTGAAAAATAATATCTTGTTATTTAAAATTTGAGAGAACAAGGGTTTGTCCATGTGTGTTTGTCTATTTTTCATYGTGTAAGAATGACTTGATAGTATGTCTATCAAACATTTGACTTACTAGCTTATGTTCCTGTGTATTTGTTGTCCGTTTATAGTATCAAGACTAGATTCCCATGAGCTCTTCGAATCAAAGAAATAAGACGAAATTTTCCTTAAAATTGAAGCTACTTTTAATTTATCTTTACAATATACTTTTTAATCAATGTAACTTATATTTAAGACACTAGAAAATCAATTTGTCATCGTAATATTGGTAGAATAGTTGATAAATGTTGTACATTAATTCTAAGTCTAGAAAGAATTTAGATTGCAAAACATAAAATATCAGAATTTTATCATGATTGTATTTATATGTATCAAGTGACTTGGTCTTCAATAATAGTAGACTGTGTCAGTGCATCAATTTCAAAAATGGCGGGAAAATGGTAACCGCGTGCGTGTTTATAGAATTGATTGATAGAAAGTTTACTTGCACCGACTTTTATGCGAAGCACTAGATTTCAAAATTCAAGATTTCAAAGTCATAAAATGCCAAATCAGTTAAGAGGTATTACAATGGTGGTATCAGTGACAACTGGTGGACTTACCTCTCACCGAGATCTGGATTCCTGGTTCGATTCCTGGACTTGAGATCTCATCTTGTACCCAGAGTCCTCCTGCGTCTTCCTACTTTGTCGATCATCTGCGCCTGCCTAGAAACATGCATGTCATCCCGGTGACCAAAAAGCTGGAAGACTCTGGGTTCGAGATTGGTGAGTAGTTTGTCAGGGCTCTTCCTTTGTTCGAGGGTTTTTCTCCGGGTTCTCCGGTTTTTCTCCCTCTGCAAAACCTAGAAACATGCAAGTTAGTTTTTACTAACATTACTCTTAGCTATAGAACCATCTAAATATTTTAAAAATTTCCCATTTAAAGCCACGTGTCCTGAGAAACAAATGTTTCCGATATTACCTAAATGTTTTGTAAATCTTAGTCCAGTGAAAATGACACGTGTTTGAAATGGGAAAAAATCTGCGACCAAGCTAAAATGGTGTTTTATTAGATGAAATAACTCGATCATAAACACTTAAATACTGTGTTATGAGAATGACTTTGAATAAAATATGCTATTTACAAAGTGTTTAAGGGCAAAATACCCTACAAACACAAACCCGACCGAAACAGTGTCCACACTTGTCCATTCAACACTATGTCTTGATGATCGAGCATGCAGAGTTCATCGTAGTTTGACGAGACCATGAAATTGCAACAGTACAGTCATCATGATCTAATGAAGTATTAAAGGAAATGCAAATTAGAAAACATGTTACCTGTAATTTCTATGCGGATTTTTCAGTAAAAAAATTTGCTTTTTACAGTTCTATTTATTACTTCTCTTATTTCCTTTCCTTTTTTTCCCTTTTTCTTCTCAGTTTCGATTCCTCTTTTTCTTCTTTCTATTGATTTTCATTTCTTTTTCAATTGATTTTCGTTTCTTTTTTATATTATCAGATATTTTGTTGCTTTTCTTTTCTTTTCCTTTCCGTTTCTTTTCCTTTTCTATTCTTTTCTTTTCTCAGNTATTTATTACTTCTCTTATTTCCTTTCCTTTTTTTCCCTTTTTCTTCTCAGTTTCGATTCCTTTTTTTCTTCTTTCAATTGATTATCGTTTCTTTTTTATATTATCAGATATTTTGTTGCTTTTCTTTTCTTTTCCTTTCCATTTCTTTTCCTTTTCTATTCTTTTCTTTTCTCAGTTAATTTCTTTTCTCTCCATCAACTGTGTATAATCTAAACTCAAAATTCCATTATTTCAACTTCACCTTATAACTTGATCATCGAGAATTCCTTTCCTTTTTCATCGAGTACTTGACTTCTTCTTTTGTCTGGTCCCATCCATGAGCAGTTACAACCTTGTACACCTCCGTCACGAGATCCGGAAAACATTCTAAAACCACGAAGTCCTCCAGCAACCTATCCCTGATTACTGTGGGTCTGGTGCTTTCCGAGACGTGTGCGTATGCATTCCTTATCAAACGCACCAACTCTACTGCAGAATAAACGTCGTAGGTTCTTCTTTTCTCCATTTCATCGAAGATTACAGGCATGTGGGAATAACCTGGATCATTCCATGCTCCTTTTCGGACTATGGTGTTGAAAGTCGTCTCTAAGTCTGTTTCAATGGCGCTTAAACAAATTGATTTTCCAGCACGTGGGAATTCAAAAACGGACTGGTTACCTACGGCTGTCAGAAAATCAATCTTTTTGTTCTTTGACCAGAACATCGGATGATCCAGGGCTTCTTCTGCAGTCGGCCGGTCTTTGAAATTTCTTCCCAGTATTTTTTTAACGAGGTGTGTGGCTTCAGGAAAAAGAGGTTTATCCCATCCTACCATTTTGCCACTTGCTATATTGACTTCTACCTCGTGAACCGGTTGCGTATTATTCTGAGAAAATGGATGCCTTTGTACCGACAAGATGTAATGAAGAACAAGTCCACATGAAAACATGTCGGATGACTTGGAATGATCGAGTTTATCTACAAACACTTCGGGAGCAATCCAACACCTCGTTCCTGCATTGGTACCATACACGGTTGTAGCTGTAGAATCTATATGACGACTTAGACCAAAGTCAGCAATTTTCAAACAAAGTTTTGAATCTGTCTTATAGAGAATATTGCCAGGCTTCAGGTCGCGATGGAGAATATTCTTCTTGTGCAAGTACTCCATCCCCTTGATTACGTCTTCACAAAGTTGTGTGCCTTTTCTACTATCGTGTGTCGACCCAGTGAGGTAGTCGTCAAGATTTCCTTCCATTAATTCTAAAACAACATAGGAAAACATTCCGTCTTCGTCGTCAAAGAACTGCAAATAGCGTAGGACTTGCTCACAGTCTGCAAGCGCGATGAGATTGGTAATTTCTCGTTTGTCTTGTGGTTGTTTCATGCGCAACTTTTCAATACGTTTTATGGCCACTTCTCTGCCATCCTTGTCGTTGATTCCAGCAAAGACATGACCAAATGCACCACATCCTATGTAGTCATTGTGCAACCAGAAATGATCGCCGACTACAAGAAAGTCTTGTCGCTTGGCAACTTTGGCCAACTTGTCCTCGTGTTTCTTCGACACTGACGTCCAAGGAATAAGAACTTCGTCAAAATCAACAGATTTTTCTAGGAGATCTCTCAGTTCAGGACAAGATTCCGCCATGTCAAGACAAAATTTCGGCATGTCAAGACAAGATTCCGATTTCGCTCTATACCGTCGCAGCAATTTTAGAATTTCACAGTGCACGGTACTGTACAATTCAGGTCCTTTTTGATACTTCGCCAGTTCTATTATGTTTCCACAGCAAAAACGAAGTGGTGTAACTGCAGTGGTGCGACACTTCCTGGAATTCAATATATCTTTGAGAAGAACTGCTTTCCAATGTGTTCGCGTAGATTGATCTTTACAGATAGCATTCAGCAAATTCGTGGTGACTGTTTCGGATTGCGTGTAGTTCATCTCACAGGCCACGTCAACCAACGCTTTAGAAAGAACGAACGTCTCTGATTGGATGAGGATACTCAAGACAGACTCGCCATGTTTGTTAACTGCCCAAGGATCGAGTCCTTTTTCGATACACTTCTCCCAAAACGACTTTGGATCTTCTGAAACGTCTGGATAAAAACGATCAAGATCTTCAGGTCCTCTTTTTATTGCTGCAACAAGAAGTGGGCTTTGTCCTAACGCCGCCACTACGTTAGGGTTTGCTCCGGCCGCAATTAAAATTTTGACAGCACTCCAAGTCATGCACATATGCAATGGAGTTAACTCATTCTCATTTCTGTCGAAGGGTTTTGCTCCACATTCCAAAAGGTGATTGAAAATTATTGATAAAAATTCCTCAAAAGTGCAGTTCTTGATAACACTGCGAGAATATTCTTCAGGCCTGTTAAACGCAAGTTTAGCCCAAAGGTGCAGCGGTGTGTCAAGGTGGATGTCACGTTTGTTAACGACATTTGTTTTCAATACTTTGGTACTTGGAAACGACTGCAAGAGTTCGATCACTTCTCGCAGGAACTCCTGTCTTATTGTCTCATGTCGTAGTTTAAAGCCGACTGGAAAAAACTTCATGGTCAAGTGAAAAACAGATTCTCCGGTTCGTGACGTTTCTTCTACAATGGACCCTCTTTTGAGCAGGAACATACAAACTTTACGCACCGCCTTAATTGCTGATGGCAATTTACTTTCTGTCACACGACTTATGTCTCCAGACAAGCAAAACAGAAGAGGCATTTGATTTTGATGGTTTCTTGCATTTAACTGTGCGCCAAGCTTATCCAACTGGTGACATAATCCAATAACATGCTCCTCAGAAGCACCAAGAAATGGTAAACGAACCGTATGGTGAAGAGCAGTGTTTCCATCGTAATCGGCGCTGTTCGAATTAGCTCCCAATTCGACCAGTAATTCAATAGCTTTTGGTGTGTTCTCAGCGCCTTCCTTTAACAACTTCAAAATATTTTCCAATGCTAGTAGTATTTGCTCACTGTAATTATCGTCGTTCACAAATTCACTATAGAGCTGAACCAAATTCAGMAGTTCAACGTCACTCACARGGAATGCATATGTCACAGTTTTTCTAAACATTATGTTTAATACTGTGGTAGCAAGACTTTCCCTTTTCACACCGTGCTCCAGCAGCCTTGAAGCATCAAACTTTTGCATCATATATCCATATTTTTCAAAGAGCAAAGTTAGAATATCAACGTTACAATTGTCCTTCAAATGTAGACCTCCAAACTTTTCCACGATCTGACATCCTGTCGTGTTGAAGTAACTCCAGTCTGCGTTAAACAAAGCAGTTCTGCCAAACCTATCTCTTAATGTGAGAATATCAGGACCAGCATCGATCAATGCACAAACCACACTTTCGTTGTTACTTTGTTGAACTGCATAAAACAAAGCAGTTTGGCCATCATCATTAGTTATGTTGACATCAGCACCAGCAGCAATCAATGCACGAACCACGCTTTCGTTGTTACTTTGTTGAACTGCATAAAACAAAGCAGTTTG